GGGGACCGTAGGTGGATTCTCTGTTATGCCTATGAAGACTAGTGACCGTCCTGGTTCTCTATCTTGTGTACTTTCGTGATAATCGTAAAGTGCCGCAGGAAACGTTATTTTTTGGAAGATGAGTGAAAAAATGAGAAATTGGCCAACCTTGAGGTCTTGCTTTACTATCAAGAGGGCGTACATGCATTCTATGGACGCGTTGCATGCTATCAATCCTTGTTTATACCGTCTACAACCTTTCTGTCAGTTGAATTCTCGTGGCCGCCGGACTCGACAGTCGATTTGGGCACGCCAGTGGTTTTTGATTATACAAATTGTACCGCAAATTGTTGCTACGATACCCTTAACAATAATCGAACTGAATTCAAGTCATCTTCCTTTGAACAGACAGGGTTGTGTTGCATTTTGCGACCATCATCGCTGATGAAGTGATGTAATCCACACCTGTTTAGCAGCCCAAATCAAGCAAATCCTTTGTTACTTATATTGATTGCTATTTATCTTACGGTTATGCACAAATTTACTCTCAATAAGTTACGTTGCACGCACTGCTATCACTTGTTTCTATACTTCTTGACCTTCGAGGGCTCCTACGCAGCAAGGAGAAAATGCTCATCGGTTCTATCTTGGAATCATGATAAGAGTCTATTTACATTCTTACTGCGCGCCCTTTTAATCTTCTGGACGAATTGAACGTAGGATAAGCCCATACGTTCAATTCGTCATCAGCCAAGAATTCCATCAATGAAGCTACGTCTTGTAGTAGTTTCAAGATCTTGTTCATGCGACTGATACAAGTATACAAGTCAGCTTTTGTGACTGTGTTGATAAGGATGATTCTTGCGTTTTTATGCCTTCTTGAATGGCTTGTAAATCCTCGATGCCATTATAAATCTATTTATGCCAAAAGCAGATAAGAATCTTTGTGATCTTGACGGGAAGCGAGTGGCACGGATTCAAGTTAATCTCTCGACAAAGTTAGAACATACCTTGATAGTTCAGATATTTCAGATCGATCCAGAGCATGTATTAACAAGGAGGATAAGTCTTTATCCGCTCGAAGGATCCTTTCCTGAAACTCTTGTAGCGAACGTACGCTTGTTCGTGTGAGATCAACACGAAACAACAAGATGAAAGCGAGACATCATGCTTTTGATGCCAGATGATTGTTCTATGTAGTACAAGTAATTTAAAGAGGTTTTTATACATCTATGGGGGGCATTTCATTTTACGACGTTGAGCCAGTTATTGTTTTTCAGCACGGACAATCGACGGGGTTGTGTGCAAACAGATTACCAAGATATGCAATAGTAAATCAGGAATCATCTCTCGCTCTTGCGGTAGGTTCCCTCAGTTTCTTTGATAGGGTGGAAAACGATTTCCCTGCTCGTAGTGCTTCGAACCTATCCAATGCTTGCTGTAAGGGGATACGTTCATTTCGTTGCACAGTTTCGACAGCTTGAATGATTTTCTTGCGATCACTGATGGCTCGACCTTTCAAACAAGATCCAAAGTCAGGCTCAAACAAGCGGAGCAACACACATCTATACATGATGTGACTGTCAAATGTACCTGTCAGGTCATCTCCTTTTCGCCATGAATAGCCATGTTCACGTTCCAAAGCTTCAATTGCTGGTTCACCTGATCAATAATGGATGAGACAGGAGGGCAACAGTGATCGAGATAGTAATCCCAAGTCCAAAAGTACCCTTGTCAAACATACCCCCAAATCCATGCTTGAACTCTTGCCATAATTGATGTACAGTCTTGACCTCTGTATTCAACTTGTATTTGGCTTCTCGCGGTGATGGCGTGTCGTCACAAGCATCGATTTCATCCAATTCAGAAGAATCACTTTCTGTCCCGAAACATTCAGAAGAGACTTCAACCAATGGTGGAGCTGGCGTGAGTTCATGACCTTGGTGCTCAGCGAGATGTTGTAATCGCTTTCGAGCCTCCCATGCTGATCGTAAGTGGTTTGTCTTTGAGTCGAGAATGCTTTGTAAATATTTGACCTCTCGTTGTAAGTCATTGATGGTCACGTCCAGGCTAATAGAAGTAGAGATGGAATATAGTGTCAATGAATGCAAGCTTTCTGTCTGAGGCAAAACCTCGTGTTCATAAATGTCAAAAGCTAGATGATCAGAGACAGAGACCTGAGTCAAAATCCTCAAATGTCTTACCGTGAGATGGACTTATGTACCTCTAACGCATGAGTTTGGTTTATTGGGCTGTACACGACTCTATAGCGAGTTTCTTGCTGGATGTAATTCATCTTGCGAAAGCCAGATGAGAATCCTAGAGGTAAAGAGGGCAGATTTTGATTAGAAAGTGACTTTGAAGTGATCAATTCGATAACAACATCGAGTGTTCCTCCAGTACAAGAACTCACAGCAGCAGCAATCGTTCATCCAACCTGTGAAAGCTGATGAGAAGGTAGTACCCAGCTAACAGGACGTGTAAAAGGAAACACTAGCAGGCCTGTTGATCGACGCAATGTCCTCCCAATGTCCTTCTAGGGGTGCAGATCTCACTCGCAACAAATAATGAACTCTGCATCACAACTTGTTGAACTATTTTCAAGAGATAGTAATTCATGTTGCGAAGCACTCCAAAAGAGAAGGGAGGTACGTACCGTGTCCTTGCCCTCGGGCAAAGATCACAGCGAAGATGCGACGCTCATCGCTCTCAACCAACCAACATCAAGCTCACCGCGAGAATACACGCTAACCGCTGAGGTTAGAACATCGAAGCAGGGTCCAGCGACAATGAGAGGTTGGTGTAACCTCGACCCCTTATGGGTGTAGAAAGTTGACGCAAAGGGCACAGAGTTCCCAGACAGATCAAAGGCTATCTCCATAACATCATTTATCTCGTCATCATTTACTTTCCATTGCATTACTCCCGCTGTTGCAACCTCGATCCTAGCACTTAAAAACTGCTTCGTCTCAACGAATCGTATTGGCCAACACAACAAACAATTTCGTTTCCTCATATATGATGCTCAAGCAGAACTATGAAGATCTCTAAACCAAAGGGCAATTGCCTGTAACTCAGAAAATGCATGTCTGTTATATGTGTAAATAGCATGTATTCTGCAATCCAAAGACCCTTTTCCTTGCTTTATGTCCCAAAAGAATTTTAAATAGTTCAAACGGAGAGACTTAACCCACGAAACATTCGCTACGGTTGTGAGCCGAGTTGAAGACACAAGTACTATTAAAGATTGAATGTTCAGACTCGGAGCAAAAGAAGTGTAAACTTTATGAACGCGGTCACTCACTGGGAGCAGCAGTCATTGTGATTTGGAAAGGCTGGATCACATTGTTGACCGGTTTGTTTGCTATTATTGAATGGCAGAGCAGAGTCAGAAGGCAGCAGTTTCTGCAAAACATGTGGACCCACCAGCAGTATGCACGACCGCTGTTTTTATTATCCCAGAATCCACAAGAACTATCAGTGACGGTGGCAGTACGTGGTAAGTGTTTTTAATTATTTGAAGGAAAATCTGCCAAAGTTTGTGGTGATGTTGCATATAGACACCTTTTATTTACTTACAGTCCGAGACTATTACAACAACCAGTGTTTGCGTAGGGGTCGCAAGTGGCATTGAACTGCCCACAGTATCCGCTCTAACGAGTTCGGCATTTCGGTCAGTACCAATGCAAGCATCTGAAAAGGAACGACAATAAATAGACCGCTCAAAAGTCTTCAACATACCGGGCAATATCGATAAACTATGGCATCCGCGAATTGAAAGAGTGTGATGATCAACATCAAGAGGAGGGAGACTGGAATTTTGAGCATTGTTTTTGGATCTTTGGTGTGTAGGGATGAAGGATGGGAACTGAAAGTGGATGCAAGGAGTTCTCGAGTAGTTGAGGAAGTGTGAATAATGCAAGAAACAACCTGCGCCACTATTGTTTTGAGGCTTTTGAGTCATTCTTTATTTGGTGTTACCCACCCACCACAGCCACTGCATGTTGGTCGACACAAAACCACCAGACGAAATTAAATGCAGATAAAAAGAATGAGAACCGTTATTGTGCTCTTGGCTCTCTTTGTCGGTTGTTTCTCCATGCCAATGCTTGAAGGTTTGTTGAATTGATACTTCTGTGTACTTTTCCACCGGTTTAATTAACCAAATCGTGACATCTCCACAGAACGGCAAGATACTTCTACAATCACCACGATCCTCCCAATGAGCGTCCATTTTGTTATCGACTGTCCAGGTTCTCTTGTCTTGTTACAGCCAATCCTCAAACACCTGAATAGCTGACAATGATTTTTTTAAAACTAGACGGGTATTGTGGTGGATCCGGCGCTACCTGTGATACTAGCTCAAGAGGGCAATGCTGCTCACACTTGTAAGCATCTGATTCGCTTTGCACTTGCGCCACTGAACTCACACTGTCACATTCCATTTTCACAGAACATGTGGCTGGCAAGAGAAAGCTGGTGAATGGAGAACTGCGTGTTGTGCTGCTCATGGAAGTGTTTGGTGAGCACAAAGTGTCCTTTCTTCCAGAAAACTACTCCCCCAAGCTAACATATGTTCATAATTTAGTGACCCAGCTGGTATGTCAGGATCTTGAAATGACAAGCATATAGTGTAACTAGTCTAACCCATTTTAATTAGTGGCTGGCGTCTGCTGTGGAACATGCAAAACCACGGGCAGGACCTCGACATGTCAACCCGTTCTTTGCTTTGGCAGACAGGGGTGTATTTGAAGGGAATGAAGACTTGGGACCACTTGCTTGCTTGTAATATGTTTAGTTTCCTTATTTCAATTCCACCAAAAGTAAATAAAAACATTCCTGGTTTGATCCACCAATTTTGTGGTTTCCAATGTAATTGCAGCGTCTAGATCGAAGGGATGTCGATCACTGTCTTCCACCACGTAGAATATATCTGGAAAAGAAGCTGATGAGAAAATAGTTTATCGATTGCCTTCTGGGTTGATTGTCAACTCTTTCCCTCAAGCACAATCATCAATCTGATGCCATTCGTTTCATTCGATGCTGTCCCAGCGGCAACAGCGTCACCAGGATTTGCCATATGTACCAATGAGATCTGTTCCGTATTCCTTGAGAAAGTCTTCCCCATCTTGGGCGCCATATTGCTTACAGTCACAGAATTTGCTCCCCTGCCTGCTGTAATCAAGTTGGACCGAACTGGGATACTCGAAATGAATCCTCTTCCATACTCGACCGGGTTGCCATCATGTCTAGGTCTGTACAAACACCTTATCAGTCAGTGCCTTGGCGCTTGGATCACTAGCATCTGACATCATTTTTTTGGACGCAATTCAGCTTGGTCGACTTATGCGCTACTCATTCGGGATTATTACGTCTTTGCGCCCAATCTGACTGGAACACCTCTCTGCTTGTACTATACACTGGTAGCGTACGGACATGCTTCGAAGGAGCAAAAGAAATGGATGTTGTTGACTTGTGTTGGCTCGACGACGTTTATTTGGCTAGTAACCTATATCTGGTATTGCCAAGATTAACTTTCGTCGCCGTCTCCATTGATCACTGATACTCGCTTATAATCAATCTAGCTTTATACCTCTCCATGACACCGAAACGGGTAAAACGATTCAAGGTGTTTTAGCCATGCTATTCTTCATGCTATGGGTGTCGAGCCCGCTCTCGAATGTGGTAAATGTGATCAAGGAGAGGAATGCATCGTCGATCGACGTGTTCTTGGCTGTATCGTTGCTAGTGAGCTCATTGTTTTGGACTGTTTACGGCATTGCTATCAGGGACTGGTTTATCACAGCCAGTAACGCGGTTGGAACTACAACAGGAGCAATTCAAGTACTGTGCTTGATTGTATTTGGTTCGAAGCCAGAGCCTTCAGTTGCAGTTGAGGTTGAGGGTGACAAATTATGATCATATAGAATAGCTCGCCATTGTTTATAGTCAGCATAATATTAATTGCATCACAAAGTTGAGGTTCTGGCTGATCCTTGGTTCTTTGCAGAGTCTTCAGCCCGTCACAACTCATAAGATTCAAAACATTTTTCTCGAGCTTAGTTTCAAGCAAACCAGTGCCCGATCTAGCTGTTCAAGGCAAGGGAAACATGCATCGCTCTTATATAATCGATAGTTACCTTTGTTGATGGAGCGATTGCAAGTCTCAAATCCACAAACAACGCCACAATTTTTGTGCAAAAAACGTTTGTCGATCGCAGTGCACGACGACCAACATTTTAAAAGATCGCGATAAGCATTTTTACTAACCGTCATCACTATAGGACTTGCTGTAACGGTTGTAAATCATGTCATCATCCGGAACTTGTGGATCTGAAACATGTCGAGTGTTTTTGGAGCTCGTCTTCCCGATTATAGGAACCATTCTGTTAACCGCAGTGGAATTCGCACCTCTGCCAGTAGTGATAGAAGTGGAAAAGACTAAAAAGCTGAGGTTTAATCCACTACCCTATGCTACGAACCTGGCGAATTGTTTGGGTGCGTTTCATTCAACTTTTGGATCTACTGGTCTATTAGCCACTTAATGTATGAGCTAACTAGCGCAATGTCGCATGTAGCATGGTCACTATACGGCTTGCTGATAAAGGACTACTTTGTATATGCTCCTAATCTGACTGGGACCTTCTTATGTCTCTACTATGTAATGGCAACGTACGGTTTCGCAACCGACAACCAGCAGCTGTGGATGAAGATATTCGCTGTGGGTGGCACAGCATTGCTGTGGCTGGTTTCGTACATATGGTAAAAATACAAGTCAACCACTCGTAAGGGCGAGCTGTTTGGGCTGACAACCTCTCTTATCAAATCAATTTAGTTTCATACCTCTAAAAGACATCTCGGCTGGCTCCACAACCCTGGGACTCCTCGCAACCCTGTATTTCTGTGCATTCGTGGCATCACCACTATCCAACATTCTCCACGTCATCAGGACTCGAGACTCGTCAAGCATACATTTTGGACTTTCTGCAACAATAGTAGTTAGCTCCATATGCTGGGTCTGTTATGGAGCTGCAATTCAGGATATGTTTATTACTGTGTCTAATGCGATTGGTTCACTGTCGGGTATATTGCAACTATTTTGCTTGTGGGCATACCCTACTAAAGTGGTGAAGGATGAGAAAGGTGGTGGTGATGCTGAGGAGCATGCAGTTGATGTTGTGGTTGAACAGGAGGATGAATCAAAACTTTAGAATGAAGTCGGTCTTATAAAAACTAAATATATAATAATTATCCGGTATCGAAATATACAGAGTGTTTGAAGTCGCATGCTTGCTGGCACACTGACATTTTTGCTAATACGTTCCAATTTGTTTGGTTCTCAGAAACTCAAAACAGTTCATATTCTCACACAAACTATATTTTACGGAGAGCTCTAAAAATGATTTGGCAAAATGATGGGGAGCGTGCAGAAGGAATAAAAGAAGGAATCTAAAAGCAAATTCTACAAAGTACAGCAAAATTTCATCTAACTTCTTGTTACTAAACCCTCATGACCTTTTCCCTCTAATCCTCTTGCTCGACACCCCCCCTTCCAAACACACAACACTCATATGTATAATACTCTAGTAGTACTCTTGAGTAGACAATCTCGAGTCAAATTGCGCATTCGGTATTCCCACAATGCCGTTATAATCACCAGCTTTGGGCACCATCATGACGGATGGAGGAGCAGGTCTGGAGTGGGATGCTAGGTTGGCGAGTGCAGATGGCATTATGGCATTGAGGTTTTTGGCGTTGAATGCTTGTGATGGGTCTGCTATTTTAGCGTTTGCCAACATTTCCTTCAAATCTGCATCTGGATGTTGATGTATAACATGATACTAAATGCAGAAAGAACTTGTGAGTTGGAGACACCATGAAAGTTGAAGATATGGACGTCGGTCAAATAGGAGGATTGACTTTTAGTGTTTTTTATACCTTGAGTCCATTGTTGTTCTTATACATCCTGCTACATCCCGGATACTTGCAATGATATGGTTTGAATATCCTTGGTGAACCATCATCTTCATTGGGATCGACATGGCCGTGGGCAAGATGATATTTCAAACCGTTTGCATTTTTGTAACTCTTTTCACATCCTTCAAACGTACACTAAAAAACAAAGAAAACATGCCATCAGTCTTCCAGTCCGAAGAATGGTGTGTTTACAGTACACTCGCACCTTGTAGGGCTTTGGACCATCTGGAGACGGAATCTTTCTGCTGTTGCTTGTACCACCACCACCGACACCATTGCCACTACTACTATTACTTGTAGGATAACCAACAGGCCTCACTCCATATTCTTGAGAATCGGGAGAACCGCCTTCATCTTCATCATAATCCTCTTCAACATCCACATCCTCATCTTCTATATCCTCATCGTACATCCTTATTCCATTTACTGTTGGCGGTAGCTGATGCGGTGCTCCAGTTCGAGTTGATAAACCAGCGAATGAAGATGGTGGTAGACCTGTGAGTGGAAATACTGATTCGTTCTTTAGACTACTGGATCGCAATCCTGATATTAACGAGTCGAGATCTGCGTCAGTTGTGGGTTGAGGTGATTGACGAATGTGTTGCTGTGGTTGTTGTTGGTGGTGTTGTGGTTGTTCAGGCCGTATGAATTCGGGCTTTACCGTCATAGGTGCTATATTGTTATTATATCCGTTTGGCTGCATGCTTCGATATCTCTGTGGCTGTTCCTGTGCTGCATAGTTGTTGCTTGATTGATATGGATTCATAGTAGCATCATACTGGTTGCCTACAAACCCTCCACTCACAAACGCGCCATTCGTATATCCATATACACCGTTCGTTGATGGTGCCATTGTGGTTTGAGTTGCGAAGGTGGCAGGATCTTGCCAGAAGCCATTGCTGGTTGCCTGATCAGAGATTCCCATGCTGGAACTCAGACTTGGATCATTGATTATAGTGGAGAAGTCTAATTCGCTTAACTGGAAGTCCTCCCTCCACCTCTTCACGTTACCAGCATACGAGCCAAACGAGAAGGCAGCTACTGATAACCTTCGTTTGTGTAAATCTTGTGGGTCACTAGTGTTCAGATCGTCAGCCAACATGGCTGATAATTGTGCATCCCTGTTGCTCATTCTACTCGCGGTACTTGGATTATTACTATTAATATTACTTGTTGGAGCTTTCGTGCCGTTGGTTGAATATATGTTTACAGGGAGTGTGGGTGACGAAGAGTTCCTGCTTGTGCTTCCGTTAGAGCCGTTTGTGGTGACAGATGACGGCCTTCCTGGCATTTGTATAGGTTCGGCAGCAACAACTGCCTGAGGTGCCATTGACGACATTCCTATAGGAGCAGCAGCAGCAGCGCCACGCATACCATAGGCTCCTTCTGGCACATCTTCGTCAATTCCTAAATCGTCGTGTGTTTTGTGCACTTGATCCAAGTGAGCAAAGAGTTGCTCGACAGAGTCAAATTGGGTGCTGCAGCATTCATATTTGTCTAGTTTCAGACTTCGACCGAATGGACTGGAGCTAAACATGCCGACAGACGCCGGGGACATGCCACCAAACAGAAATTGTGGGCTAAGCGGCCGACGATGTTCAATTAGAACTGTGGAATTGCGAGGAAGAGGCAAGATTCCGATATGAATGCAATAAGATTGAATGGAAATACCTTCCAACGGCGTTCCGTAGCTGCGACAGCCCAGGGCTAATCCCCCAAACATCGGCAGCCAAAAGTTGTTGGCTCAGGCTATTAGATAGAGACAGATTCATCGGATCAGCAGGTGGCCTTAGATCCCGTCCAGGAATACCTAGTGCTTGAGCCGGTAATCGAGTGGCAGTTTCAAGCGACGATGACGGTGTGATTTGTGATGATGAAGGCGGTGGTGGAGTCTGGCTTCCCTGCTTGGAGCCTCGGTCACTAGAAGCAGCAGGCGACAATCTGTTCATTGTGTCAGTCTATACAATTAAAGTTTGCCGAGATATAAGATGTGGTGCTCGGTGCCAGCTGCGATGCAGCGAATTTGTAAGTTGGGAATAGGGACGATTGCAAGCCGTACGTTCTATGTGTGGTCTCTAATCTAGGCTGATTATAGTGCTGTCAACATCAAAAGTGCTGAGTTCTTGACCTGAACCTCCCGACGTCCTTGAGTGCAACCAACAGATGATAACAAGATCAACAGACGCTGCTAACGTTTTGAGCTATGCCCGACGATTTAGACAAGATTTGAGGCAATATGTCGTATCAGATCGCGATCGAGCTCATCGATATCGTGCAAGTTTGACGTATTTCGCAGAACCAACACACATGTTTGACAAACGATCGTGTAGATAGTAGGTGCGCGTAATCGCGTATGAACCATCTCAAATTAGGGACTACAGTGGCTCAGAATCGTTGCTGTTTAATGTTCTAGTGCTGGGTCGTACATTACAGAGCTCCCCTGAGAGCTCCTTTCATTAGTCACGGCTGACACACGTCTACTCGCCTTGCAAACAATCCAATTTTGTGACAATAGGACATTGACAATCATGGTAAGGAAGCGAATCTCTGAATGTATTGTGTGGTCAGGATGCAATCGGCTCTCTCCTCGCCCACCGATTGATATGAAACCTTCGATGGATGCGTTGGATGAGGACTTGACATCTTAACACCTTCAGCGTGGAACGCATACCCAAACAACAACAACGAAGAACAGACACCATTCATTCACTATATAATTAAATCACTCACAAAATCCCCTATTCACAGGTCAACGTACCAAAGTTGCGCAATACCTTTTGCAAGGGCAAAACATGCCGAAAACACACACCTCACAAAGTATCGCAATACAAGACTGGTAAAGCCTCCTTGTTTGCTCAAGGAAAGAGGAGATACGATCGTAAACAGGCTGGTTATGGTGGACAAACCAAACCCGTCTTCCACAAGAAGGCAAAGACCACAAAGAAGATTGTCTTGAGGTTGGAATGCAACGTTTGCAAATACAAGCATCAAATCGCTATCAAGCGATGCAAGCACTTTGAATTGGGTGGTGACAAGAAGGTGTGTATGGTTATTAGATTGTGTGTCTCTCTATCTGGACATTCTGCATTTTGAGGGCATTTTTGGGTTGTTATTGGAGAGATACTATGTTAGGCCTCTATTGCAGCCACCAGTGGAGTCGCGCATAGAGATTCTAAATGTCGATGGTGTTATCGCCAGCTTTGTGGACTCATTTGCATCGATAAACTCTTACAATTTTCATCTTCTCTGTACAATAGACCAAGGGTGCTGCTCTATCCTTCTAGGCACAGTCTCTACTTTAAAATTGTATAGCTCCAACGACACTCGCAATAAAATAGTTATTGAGAAAAACACGTCTTGGCATAGATCTTGAATTTTACAGCCTACAAAGACGAAGGACTGAACCAATATGTGCTTAACGTGGTTGAAATGATCTATATGAGTGCACAACTACTATTACAACTATTTTTGATGAATGTTTTCCTCTAATGGTGGAAGAGACGCCATTGTGTATGGGCCATCACCATTCCTCGCTTGTCAGCCTCCGCTATAACAAGAGCATCTTGCACTGATCCGCTAGGAGCAGCAATGTACGAGACACCACTAGCAGCAGCTCGCTAAACAAGTGAGGGGAAGATGTTAGAAATACGATGTTTCGCAAGTCGCCGGCTTGATTAGGCACCAACACCAGAATCAAGGCACTAACCAGCACGTTGTCGGTAAACGGGAAAAAGGCATCACTGGATACCACCACACCACTCAACCCTTTCTTCCATTCAGCACGTTCTTCAGCCGTCAATGGAGCAGGTACAGTTTCATACAAAGCAGTCCAGGCTTCCATATCATCGATTTGTTCCGTCACAAACAGATCAATAGCGTTAGCCTTGTCTGCTCTCTTGACGCTCTTCTTGAATTCCATTCCTACTACGCGAGGATGATGACGCATCCACCAGTTATCAGCCTTGTCACCAGCCAATCGGGTACAATGGATGCGAGACTGTTGACCAGCACCTAATCCGACAACCATACCGCCCTTAGCATAACATACCGAGTTGGATTGAGTATACTTCAACGCGATGGTGGCTACAATCATGTCACGGATGGCGTCTTCTGGTAGATGGGTGTGTTGTTCGGTAACAATGTTTGAGAATATGGAAGCGTCAATCTTTAGATCATTTCGGCGTTGTGATAGTGATAGACCGTATACTTGTCGAGTTTCCATTACGTCTGGTACATATGATGGATCCATTTCCAAAAGAGTGTATTTGCCACCCTTTTTCTTCTTCAATATTTCTAATGCTGCTGGTTCGTAGCCTGGTGCGATTACACCATCAGATACTTCTCGAGATATGATTTTGGCTGTTGCTACATCACATATGTCGGATAAGGCAATCCAGTCACCGAATGAAGACATTCTGTCTGATCCACGTGCTCTAGCGTATGCTGATGCTAATGGAGTCAATTCGATATCATCTACAAAGTAGACCTTCTTTTCGAGATCAGAGAGTGGGACACCGACGGCTGCACCTGCTGGTGACACGTGTTTGAATGATGCTGCTGCTGGGAGACCTAAGGCTTCTTTGAGTTCTTTGACTAGTGGCCATGCGTTCAAAGCGTCTAGCAAGTTTATGTATCCAGGAGATCCAGCCACGACTAATGAGAAGTTTGGACAGTGTTAGTTTGGGTCCTCCCGCAACAGTAACGAATCAAAACAGCCAAAACCCATTTGGTCAGCAAACCAGGGGATAGCTTGAGACCATACTTGCCTTTGAATGGCAATTCACCATGAGTAACATATACTTGAGCAGGCTTTTGATGAGGATTGGCACCGTATCTCAAAGTGAGAGCCATGTTTCCATTTCCAGCATATTGATCACGGAAGAAGGTAGAAATCATTTGATCGTATTCAAAAGTATGGGTAAAGGCTTTCAGTGCCAGCATTTTCCTAGTTTCTTCTTTGGTAGTTGCTACACCAGAACTGGTATGTGATGCCTTGAGTTCAGCCAAGAGACTGGTGTAGTCTGATGGATCACATACTACAGTAACTCGAATGTGGTTTTTCGCAGCTGCTCGTAGTAAGGTGACACCGCCTAGTACGCGCAAGTTTTGAGAGGATTTAGCAAGCAAGCAAAAAAAGCGAAATACAAAGGTAGTCCGTGTGTACACACCAATATCAATTTCTTCAACGGCTTCTGGGATTGTAACTCCAGCCTTGGCAATAGTTTCTTTGAAAGGGTAGAGATTGCAGACGACAATATCAATCTTGTCGTAACCACGAGCCTTCATGTCAGCGTCATCAGATGCAATGTCTCGTGCGAGAATACCTGACCAACGAAAGTAAAAAATCATTGGAAGAGCCGAACAAAGAATTACGCCACTTGGATAATACCTCCATGGACAGCAGGATGTAAAGTCTTGACACGACCACCCAACATTTCAGGAGCTTGAGTAATATCTGATACATCACTAACCACCGTGAGTATAGAGAATAAGATTTAGAGTCAATGCGCTCTTTATCACAATATATCAACGCAAAAACACTTCTGCACCACTCGCATCTGAGTTTCAAAATGAAAATGTTGCTTTACCTGACAGGAAGACCAGCTTCTTTCAAGGCCTTTGAAGTACCACCAGATGCAACTAGTTTGATACCAACATCGTGTAATCCTTTAGCCAATTCCAATAAACTGGTCTTGTCAGCGACCGAAAGGAGGGCTAACGTTAAAAATTGAGAGTTTAGATAAGCTTCTTAAGCGAGACAAACACGATAACAAAGTGTATGCAATTACATTACCTAGCTTTTGAGTATCTACTACCATTGTATAATCTGCTTCAACGTATGAGCGAACGGTTGATAGAACTGGTGTGTTTTTGGAGTTGAAGAGTGAAAACTGTTTTCAATGCATGTTGAATAGAAGTTTTTTTTCTACAGAGAACGCGGGGACAAAAATTATTTATAGCAGAGTCAAGAACGCGACGTGAACCTCGCAGAGCTGTTCGTGGTCGTTGCTAATTGTATGCGAAAAAAAAGATGGGGGCATAATCAGCACTTCAGACTGGTATAAACGCTTCAAATTAAATGCCTGATACTACCATAGTGTATTTCTAAGCAATCTCTGACGTTAATACATCAGTATCTGCCATCTAGTCTTCCATCTTAATTCTCTTTTTTTTCCTCCAAACTTTGGGTTTTTTGATGTCACAAAAATACCCAACAAGACCATATGAAACAGTCTAGTTCGACATCATCCATACATTCAACTACATCAAATCAACGATAATCCCACTCTGCGTTGTATGTGTGGCACTTTTAATACTGTAAATCACAAAAAAGGTGCTAAACAGTTCAGAAGGGCCAAATCTTCTTGGATTAGTTTTTCCTCTCAGTTATCATCTTATATCAGTGAGAGTATAGGTAATCCGTTCATCAAGTTTGATAGTTGATACTCGAAAGTACCCAATCTAAATAATACTTGACTTAACTTCTGAGAAAAGAAGATGGTAGCTCACCGACTTTATATGCTTAGAAAAATGGAATGGAATATCTCGCGTCTTCTTGGTGATTCTCAGCGTGATGAATCGATACCACTAGCTCTGATTATTCTAAACCAACCACTGTGTCCGTTGAAGACATTTGATCGGTTATGGTCGCGTGGTGAGTGTCTTGGTTGTTTGCATCAAACAAGTGGAGAAGTGCTCAATTCGTCAGCTCTTGTACAGCATCACTCAAACTATTTGCTGATGGTGGTTCAAATCGGGTGTATGATGTGCTGGAGATTGACAATGTTAGACGAAAGTATGTTTTTGCCTCTTTGGAGTCGGATCTCGCACTCATGACGAACGTTTCAAGATATCTACCTGATGCTATTGTCGGTGACTTGGACTCGCTACGCCCTGATGTTAGAGATTGGTATGCTGCCGAAGTAAGTATTTCCTTTGCTTTTGCGAGTTATCGACAAGGACGCGTTTCAAACCGACATTTACCTCTAGGGAGTCATTGCACAAAAGGTCCAAGATCAAGATTCTACCGACTTTCAGAAGTGTCTGGCACTTGTTACGAAAGCTGAATCCAATGAGCAGAAAAAGGCAAGGTTTCAAATGATCGATAGTGAGCCGGTCTAACTCAGCTTTTCACATCTAGTACGAAATAGTGGCTCTCGGAGCTTTATCCGGACGATTCGATCATGTCATGCATGCCATCAATGTCTTGCATCAGTCCCAAGTTGGTCGTCGACTCTACCTGCTTTCAGATGAAGGTGTTGTGTTTCTGTTGACACCAGTGAGTGCTGGAGCTCTAGATACGAGAATTAGATAGGCGAATAACACCTGTTTTTGCTCTCGTAAGGGAAAACACGTCATCATATGTGATCCAAACATTGAAGGTCCAACTTGTGGATTGCTACCAATAGGGATTGCAGTGGCCAAACTCACTACCACTGGTCTTAAATGGAATCTAGGTATGTTGGGATACGTGCTTACCAAAAAGAAGTAGCATCCAATATTTCAATATAGATCCTACAATGCCAACATCATTTGGAGGTCTTGTTAGTACCTCTAACGCGTTTGCTGATGAGTCTGACGGACATGAGAAGGTTGTCACGGTTGACACAGATCAACCTATTGTTTGGACTTGTGAAGTGAGACTGCCTAGAAGATAAAAGTCGTGTTTGGTCGTGAAATAATTTAAGACCTCGTGCCATTTAGCATTGTAATATTCGACATTTGAACATGGAACAGGGATACGAATGTGATATGAATCCAGATATAACACGGAGAAAAAAATGAAAAAATGTGCGCAAGTCTGTTCAAAGGTGTTCACGGGGTTGAATGATTAGAGCTTGGCACATAAAACATGGCGAGAAAATACGAAGCGTTAGTGGACGTGGACCCGGTAAGCGAACAATTCGATCATGACTACAGTCGTTCGCCTTTCTTTCCATCCATCCCAGACAATTCAAAATTAAACCAACTCAAACATTTCCAAAACAGACGGACGCTGACGACGAACTCAGATTTCAAAGTGAGCATTGGAACAGAAATCCCAGATATCTATCTGATATTCATGGATCTACGTATTTTTGATCCTGTTGGACCATGTACTGATGGAAAAGCAAGCTGACATTGAACCACAAAATTTAGATTTCGTTGCCTCAGATGGTTCAACGCTTACTGGGAAGGTGACTGGTAGTCCGTCTCGAGCTGCAGGGAGCAATACACGTAAGACATATCGTCCTACAGTGTGAAACTGTTTGGCGATAGTAATAAACAAGTGTCTACCTGTTAGCATTCATTCTACCAACGTCTGGCGAAGGAGGAGGAGATGGAGCAAAACGACCAGCAGCATTTTATAGTGCTGAATTCTATGTACAATACTTTAATGTGGACTCTGCAGATGTATGCTTGGGGTTGCAAGACATTAACGTTGCAACGTCTGTGCGTTTAACTTCTGACGTTTTTTGCTACCCAAAAGGTTTTAGCACGACTGCTATCAACAATCAACCCAAAATCAAGTTTCATGGACATTATAACTACAAATCCTGATTTATATGGTATGAGTTTGAGGCAAACCACAGAACAATGATGTATGCCAATACCTATAGCCTTTTTTTTGTGTATAGGTCCGTTCTGGGTATCAACAACTGTAATATTCTCATTATTCGTGACATCATGCATCGCAGGCTCCATCCAAGCCTATTCATCAGGAACAACATACACATACGACTTTTCGTTACTGTCATTTGCAACATTTGCAGTCTACATGTATGCTGGACTGGTACCGTTAGTGGTATGGGCTGTGGGCAAATGGTGGCTGGGAATTCCACTGAAATTGATGGAAGTTATTGATGTGTATGGATATGGATTGAGTGTTTGGATACCTGTTTCGGTAAGGACATTTCGACGCATCCTATTACACGAGGAGTCTTTTTTGTTTACCGAACAATCTTTTCTTCTTTAAAGCTTCTTTGTGTATTTCCATCGGATATATGGCGATGGTTGCTAGTTGCGTTAGCTCTCGCTTCCTCTGGTGAGGTGTCATCCAACATTAATAGCCTCTTTTGCTCAAGCCTTGTCACTTTTTCTCTTAGCTCTATTCAAAGTACGAAACCTTTCACCCGTAGTCGCCAGGGCAGGTGATATCAGAGCCAAGATCTTGATACCGGCAGTCCTTGTCGCTCATGTTGGATTTGCCTTATTATTCAAACTTGGATTCTTCAAGTTTGTAACTACAGTGGCGGAATGAAGATATTGTCATTTCTTATTTTGTGCCCTATATAATAGAACAGAAGCATTAACTTGTGCGACGTGCCAAGTTGTTATCTTTGAGAAATCTTTTCAGCTTGATTCAGTATACAAACAAAAAACTATTCAAATGCGAAAAACATAAATATTATATAATGCAGTAGGGCCCTGAGCCACAAACCCGCAGCTCTAACGCTTTACACGGTCTACAGGACGCGGCAAGAGAACTTGAGCTGGACTTTTCCTCCCATATGTTCAGCTGAAACGAATGGAATCGAGCAGCAGCAGCGAGATTCAGACCCAGTTCGTACTTGCCCAACGGAAGGCTAACATAAGCCAGCCACTTTTCTCCCATCTTTGCAACTCCTCTGAATTCGCTACTCTTGTCAATCTTTTGAGGTTGTGTCATTGCAACAGCAGCTATAGCGGCTTCTGTGTCGTCTACATCAGCGTGGTTTGTAACTATGTTTGTGTTGGGCACTGTCAAAGGAACCAGATCAAATGGGGCTACGGTATTAACTTTGGCGTTGGGGACATCTCGTCTCAGGACTTCTCTATTATATGCAAGAGCTGCTTCACCTTCCGAGTCATTTCTGCCAAGATAGGTCTGTAAGGGACAAGTTGGCTATCCATTATAGGGGGCACTTTCTGCTTCTTGCTTCACTATTGGTCCAAATTCCCTGTATGGTAGCTGTCCAGAGCGTTTTATGACGCATTGCAGAGCGCTTGCTGATGAAATTTGGGTTGATGCTGGTGATGAGGGTAGCGATATCTCGTCATTAGGAAGAAATTCAGAGTCAGACAAATGCAAGACAATTACGGCTTGATGCTGCGAAAGGACTAGTCCTTATGCGTCCTATGCGTCGTGATTATGGGTTAGCAGACTGCACATAAAAAAGGTTCATTTTGAACGACTATGCATCAGGCAGAGATAAAGCTGGCAATTACAAGCTGAATATCGCACTTACCTGGTATCGGAGTTCAACTCAGTCCCTTCAACCGCTTGTTTTTTAACGCTAACGGGTTTACAGAATCATTTGACATTTGAGCAGAGGTATGAAATAGGCTACAAAAAGCATGTTCCAATCCTAAGCGCCAAACGCGCACATTTGTAAATTTGTCACAGCAATTCTTATTTCCTGCATGAGAATCAGGAAGCAGACAAAACTATTACAACTTGGCAGCTTTGGCAGCCTTAGCAGCTTTAGCATCAGCAATTTCTTTTGCACGCATGGCAAACCCAGACGTGGTAGAGTTGTCCCTTGGGCCACCACTCTTTTCAATCTGGTAGTGAGTTTCTGCAGTGACAGCCGCTCTCATGGCATTACGAACTGGTTCTCTCATCAAGAACTTGGCTTCAAGAAGTGATCGTGCATTCAATGTCTTCATTTCGGCCATGAATGCAGCCACGTCTGTTGTAAGAGGAAGAAGGTTGATTATTCAAGTGCTGCCTCTTTCGTCGAAACAGCGAGCTTATCAACTGCACCTTTAGCGAAAGACGCAACAGGGTACACTCTTTGAACACCACCAACAGCAAGTAGCTCTTGAGCGGTAACTTTACGTCCAGTTAGCACCATGTCGGCTGCTAGACCGGATCCAACTCTGTATGGCCACGAGAATGATCCAGCGGCTTCAATAGAAGCTCCGAGTCGCCTGTTGCAAAGGGTGTCAAGGACCGCTTCATGAAGATGTGTCTAAACTTTAATAGCAGACTCACATGAAAGGCATGTACACGTAGGCATTGTCAGCAGCAAGTATAATGTCGAATGTGGCGACCCATGCGGCAGGCCATCCAATGACTGGACCGTTGAGAGCTGCGATGGTGACTTTCTTGTGTTCAACTAGAGCGTAGGCTGCTGATGCGGGACTGTTTGACAAAATTGGTCAAAACAGCGTGTTTGGGATCACGACAGGGTACAACCACCTACCCTGCATTTAAGGAGATGGTGGCAGCAGCACGAGCTTCATCACGATCAGCTGGCACTGGCTGAGAAATAGCATTCTGGAGATCTAGCCGTGTAGAATATCAGTGTGAAATAGAATATCAATGATGACCAAGACGTTGAGACTTTGCCGCAAAAGTTACTCACTTTGTCCAGAAGAGAAGAATTTACAATCTCCACCAGTAACAACGGTGAAGACGACTTGGTCTTGGTTGTCAATGTATCGGAGAGCTTTCGAAATTTCGGCATATGTACTAGACGACGAGTCTTGATGTCAGTCATTCTATTCCACCAAGGGAGCTAGCGAGCAGAAAAAGGGCCATAAACATACGAGTATTTGAGAGAATTGTATGTGTCATGTCGCATGAACGTGATGGTGGCCACTGATCCATCAATTTCGACCTTTAGATCCTCGAATTTTGGTGCCATGTTTTGATTGTGTGTATCGAGTTAGGAAGAAATTAACTGGGAATCTTGGAGTTGCAGTAGGCTGATATCTCGATATACTAGTAGGATGCAGCCTTCGAATATGTGGGAATGAAACTAAAGCGTGGAAGGTGAATTGATGTCACACACACATAGGCATAGCTTCAGCAGGAAAAAATCATAGACAGCTAGCCGCTAAAATGGAGCAAGGAACATTTATATTCGTGCCCGAAACATTGTCCTACCTCCAACAGATACGTGTTCTATACGTATCATCGCGAAAACCCCATGTTTGGGTTTCCATGCTTAAAAAACCAGGAATTGCAAAGAAGCGAGACTATAACCTGCCAAGTCTGATATCTTTAATCCAAACTACTACAAATCCAATACAACTTCACCCGTGACGTCATGAGCGACCGTATAAGTGTTTCCGTGTAATACATCACGTTCCAGAAACCAACACTGCTGCAACACAGCTAAAGGCACTCGCACACAATGGCAGACGAACTTCGAGACGTAGTAACGCCAAAGGCTGAATGGCCATCATCATTCGAGTGCATCCTGATTGACAGACCTGCTCCCAAAGTCGTCAGAATCACGTTGAATCGCCCTGAAAAGAGAAACGCACTAAGTGGACAATTGAGGACGGACTTGTTCAAGGCATTGTTTATCTGTGACAATGATCCTTCTGTCAGTGTGGTAATTGTCAGAGGAGCGGGCAAATCGTTCTGCTCTGGTATGTTGGAGCTTTGTGCATCGGATCGCTGTTTCGATTTTGTGGTCAAAACGAACATCAAGTGGAAATTTTCCTCTTTGCGCCTTTGGCGAGCCCAACCATTTTATTGAAACTTTACGTTGCTCCATAGGATATGACTTGGGCGAACCACAACACTACGTCGATGCGTACCCCACTGCCATGGGCGATGGAGCTTGGCCTCGTCACGTTCTACAAGGTTTGGAGATACTTAAATCGGTTGGCAGCAAGCTGAGATCTGATCTTTGGAATTTACAGGGTGGTTTAACGTAATGGACATGGTTAAACCAGTCATTGCTCAAGTACATGGATACTGCCTTGCCGGTGGTTCAGAGCTAGCTGCTGCATGCGATCTCCTATATGTTGCAGAGGACGCTGAAATTGGTTACCCAGGTAAAATACTTGACCATTTACCAGCATTCACCAACCTCGCCTTTGAGATAATACGTTTTATACTAGTCACTCGAATAATGAGTCCACCGGACATGCAATACCATCCCTGGTTTATGGGTCCGAGGCGGGCAATGGAAATGATGTTGACTGGAGACTCCATTTCTGGTTAGACGAATGAACTTATGTGTTGTGATCCAACGTTGGTGATCTAGCTCCTCCAACTTGTATGCTGAAACCACTCTAAACTGTTATTAGGAGTTGAAGCCGTGACTTCTGGCTTCGCTAATCGAGCATACCCGCTAAACAAGGTAAGGATCATTCACCAAGTCGTAGCTCCTAGAAAACGATGCTGACATGTGCACACAAATAGTTGGACGAAGAAGTCCTTAAAATTGCGGTGAGAATGACCAACGTTCCGATCGACACTCAACAAATGAACAAACGTTCAGTTCATCGGGCTATGGAGCATATGGTGAGTGAACGACAGTCAATCTGAAACGCTTAGTTATCAGTACCTGATCGCATACGTGATTCGTAGGGCTACCGTGAAAGTCTTCGAGCTGGAACAGAAATCCAGACTCTTGCATTCCACCAGCCAAGCAGTGTAGAATACCGAAAGCGTCTCAACGCAAACAGAGGCAAGCTGACGCAAATGTTGTCCGAGCGTGATAAGGTAAGTCAAAGGCTCAAGATCAAGATAAAAGTGCAACCATTCGATTGCTCACTTATATTTTTTTCACCCTCACAGAATTTTAACGACTATCGTGAAAAGAAGTCAAAGCTCTAAATCGCCGTGTGTGTATATCAATGGCAACAATTGGTTGACGACAACAATGGGGAGTGGGGTTTGTTTAAACGACTACGTTGTTCAAAGTTGGATTACGATGCATACAAAGAGACGACAATTAGAAGCAAAAGCTCTCAAGTATACTGCTAAAGCGGCTCAAGCATCAGCGGCAAAATTTCATTTACTCTCATTCTGTGGCAGTTTTTGGTTTCCAAATCCAAAACGGTCCAAATGTTGTATCCGCATTTCCCCAACAGCCCACAATCCCTAGTGGTAACAGAGCACCATGAGCAAAGCTCCAACTAGCAAAGAAAAGAACGACATTTACCTTGTGGTAACAGCACACCATCGTAGTCCCACTCAACTATGTGGCGAAAGATACTTCAGTGTAAGTTCACATATTGTGCAAAAAAACTGACTCGGACGACGACCAAAGTACCTTGATGATTAGCATATCGCTTCTTGATGTACACTCTAGCATTCCTCGCCACAAGCCGGCCAACGATCGTAAACGAATCAATCACATCCGTTCCTTGCCCTTCAAACCGTACAATATGCGGACCAGAATCAGCGGACTTTTCCAACTGCATCTTCATAATCCCATCATATCGAAACGTACTGAATGGAGCATCAACAGGATGGAATTGACCTACATCAATTAAATAATACCCCTCCCATTTCCCATTTAAATTCTCTAAACAACTGTTTAAATGTCTTGTATGATCGGGCGGTCCGATACTCATATCAAACATGGAGCTGCCTAGGGTTATTTCGGGCGGTGGTGTAAATCGGGTGTTTGTTGTTTCAGTGTTGGCGTATCGGAGCGGGTCCTGGTTTATAACTATAAGCTGGCAGATGAAGCAGAGGTGGATTAGGTGTGCCATTATAATCTATGGGGCATTTGGTGGTTTAGTGCAAAAGATCAACCTTTGCTTGTGGTTATGAGTGTTTACGAGTCTTACATGAGGGAAGGGGTCCCTAACCTGCGACGCCCACATAGGATCTATGAGTTGCACCGAGATCTGATCCTTTAAAAACATTGATAGCCTTGGTCCCATCTTGCTGTCCTTTGCAATTGTCAGCGCCTAAACGAAACCGTCCAGTCAGATATACAATGTCATCAAGTATTTCGGCAATCCCCAAGCAATAAACCGTCAGCCGATCTCATCAAACGCTGCGGCGAACCTCGAGAAAATATGCAACAAAATATCAGAAACTCACAATCGAATGATCAGCAAGAGCAGCAATAGTCAAGCTCATCAAAACACTCAAACTCAATTCAAAATCATATGGATGTCCAGTCTCCCACAGAGCTATCAGCACAGACAGAATATACGGCACGACGTGTTTGATATGACTCATATTTTTGGTATCGTTCTCCAATACTAGCTGGCACAATCCCTTCATAATTTGTTTAGCTTTGCGAGAATATGCTGTTATCGGTACAGAAGCTCTTTCTCTGCGAGCTTTTCTGAGAATCAAAGTCCGATTCTTCATTTCATTGATGAATACATTGGATGTGTTGCTACTGGTCCCTTCATTGACGAGTCTCTTTTGCAAAGCGGCATCATCAAAGGTTGTTTTGAAGATGTCAGACCAGACGATAGGATCTTGCATGATCGACTCGAGTCTTTTGTTACAACGTGATAGTCTTAGTAGAGCCGGAGTAATGACTTCCGTAACGCTTCGTTGACTACGAAGGGAGATTTGTTAGCAACTTCGATAATACGAAAAGGCAATTTAAACAAAAGTTGTTCTACAAATCGTACCTGGAGGAGGATAGCTGCTTGATTATCAGCAATATTACTTCATCTGGAAGGTCCAGCATTGTAGCTGGGCCTTCACGCTCGGTGGTTCCCATCATTGATTGGTTTTGATTTGGACTGACAAGTCGATCTGAAGGTCTCTGCCCCCGATCCATGAAGTACACGTTCCAATATGATTTCAGAGTACTCCAAATGAAGTATCGAGAGCTTGCGTACGACGACAATCACGGATGAACGTGTTTCATCACCAAATACAAATTCCCAGTTTGTGATCAGTGACTTTCAGAAATACAGCGGTTGGATCACTAATTGTGTTGTTGCTGCCGAACACATTGATTGAAATAAAGCACTTTGGTTCGCCAATTCTTAGAAACACCTCTTCCCATTTGAAATTACCGTGTTGAGAGTCTTTAGCCTGTTTTGACAAATCGTTCGCTCCCCGAAAGCAGGGTTTATGCGGTCTATCGCATGCATTTGACGGTATATTTGGGATCTTACAAGTATAGGATACGTTATTTATACATTGTTCTCGTTGCGAAGTGCCATTGTCCCCCCACACAGTAACAATCCTGAAAAACGCAAAACCAACGTCTTACCTTCTTACTCAAAGTTTCCTCCGATACTTGCTAGCCGTATATGGGAGAATCTTACACACAGGAACCCTTCGTTTCTGCATCGGCCACAGAGGAGGAAATTGACGTCCAAGTCACTAAAGTTACAACAACAACAATCACAACTATCGAAGCAGAGAGTGAACCCGTAGTAGAGGTACAGAACGACACAGTCCTACCAGAAAGGAAGACGTCACTCCGGAACTTGGCATATCGTGTATCCATACCGACTGCTTCTGAGGCTTCTTCATATAGCGGATTGCTTACACCACCAACCACACCATCCTTTGGCAAAAGAGGAGATTCTCTCTACTCGACACCCCGGTCAATATTAAGAAAATCTGCTGAAATCGATACCAAAACCCTAGAAACTTCAGCTCCAGTCCTCCCAGAGCTATCCTTTCAAAGCTCAAGCTATAACACTACTCAGGTAGTCGCCACCAACAATTCAAGCACCTCCACAAACAACCACAGATCCTCGTATAATCCAACGTCAACGCTAATTGTTGAGGAACAGCAACAAACTACCCAAACTACTAGTACACAGGAACGATCCGAACGCATTCGAAGGAATTCAAGTGCACCATTGCCACCACCGAAACTCGTGCTAAATACATACAGAATGACCGATTATAACAGTCAAGCTGGTGCCCGCACATCTGTAATCTCCTCCGTTAATGATTCTGGCTCTGTATTCAGAGTGCCCACTGTTGTGACATCTCTGCCGCAACCAGGGTCTGGGTGAGATTGTGTTCCGTTTGTTTGATGTTTGCAGTTTCGTAGTGGGAGACTACCTTGATACTAATTATTTTCTCTTTTTCTAGCCCGATTGTGAAAAGAGGACGTCTAACACGACGTGGCGGACTCGGTGATAGGAAAGGGCTGGATGTATGGCTCACAGCACCTCGAACCACAAATGATATAAATATCGTGTATACTGAACTCATGATCGAAGATGGTCATCGTATTATGCCTGTTGAAGGTACCCTTTATTCAATTCGGCATCTCGCATTGTCAAACACCAGCTCGAAACCAACCACACAAATCAATAGGCGATTCATGGAGCACAAACGAAGGTGTCCGAATCCTGGGAAACATTGCAGCATCAGCAATGATTCCATGTCCCTTGCTCATTATCGGCAAGCCCCGAGTCTTCATACCATTCAGTCGCGTGCTGGGATTATATGGTGAAGAAGATTTAGGAATGGCCTGTAACTTTACTATTGTCGCTGAAGGTGTTGGAGAGCTTCGATTTGCGGTTGATACGTAAGTCTAGTGCTATCAGGATCCTTTGCCAGACGTATGTTGTAACACCAAATTGCCTTTTTACAGATCACTAGAATACTTGGCCTGGATCACACTTTTAAATCAAGCCTTTGATGTATCACGGAGCGCCGTAGGACAAGGCTACTTCAACACTGAAGATATGGTGCTCGTGGAACAAACCACCACTACAACCGAAGTCGACGAAATGATTACTACCAATACAACAACCCAGCCACGCTTATCAACCGCCTCTGGAAGGCAGTCTATTGCTAGTTTTAACTCGGGTCGTAAAGGACGAGGTCTGAAGAGTTTCTCAACGTCTGCGGCCAGCTTTTTCGAAAAGCGGGTCGCAAACTAGGAGAGGAGTGGCGAGGTTAACAATTTATAATTTGTTTTTTTTTTATTTTGCTTTTGGTTGGGTATATGGATTGCTTATGTATAGTAAAACGCCTCATTGCCAATAATGACAGATATTTGTTGGCTCATAAATTGGAGCAGTTGTGTTTCTCGCGACAAGACTGTATGCGATCGCAACAGATAAAGCGAGATACTCCTTCTCGGATGTCGCCAAAACACGTTCTTGGTGTCTAAGCAGACCTGCGTGCTTCCATTGGGTCCAAATTTGGAATTGTGTGCTTTTGTCTAGTCATGTGGGGAACTGAGCATATCATAAACGGCAGAAGGTAAATCACAAGACAGCACTACAAAATCTCTGCATGCCTACCGTATCCATACGTGGATGAACTTTATTTGACCGAGTATAGTTTGTTCAACTGAGGCTTGTGGCTGCCTTATACCCTTGCATCACCTAACACCAGCCAAATACTTACATAGATACCACCAACAAGCAACTAGAGGAGACATGACTGTATCATTCAACGGCAAATGGGTCGAAGGTATGCGTATCTTCCACCGCCCTCATCTAATGTATCCGACACAAACCAACCTTCCAAACATCCATCACTTAGACAAGGAGACCTCAACACCATACCAAGACGTCCTTGAAGCTCAAGGTAAGCCGGAACATTCGCTTTACATGTGCATCGGGGGACAGATCTTGTTCTGGAGGCTGTTTAACGGCTAGTTACCCCATCGGCATTTCAATTTTTGGGGGGCTTAAATCGCACAGTTGTTGCGACATTGGTTCTAACGAATGTACTGTTGTAGGTGTTTCATGGGCGTTACGTCAAGTTAGTAGCAATGATGATTTCGTTGTGCTGGTCTACTATGGCTTGTTTTCTTTCCAAGATTGTGTGTCTCCCAACAACACCAAACACCATAACTGAACGTCTCTCATATATAGATCATCAAACTCTTGACAGTTCAATACACGATAACCGACACCGGTACCACCCTAGAGTCAATTGACACTCAGGGTACGAAAGAGCTCGCAACCCTCGACAATGAATGGTACGTAGAAAGGCACTTCTTCGTTTCTTCTTGTGTTTGGAATACCCAAACCTAATGAAACGTAAACCCATGCATCACTTTGATCAACCCAACCTAACTGACATACCAATTTGTCGCATAGGGTGGAGCGAAAGCACCCCATCTTTGGACCCTACAAGGACAGGATGGCAAGGTTGAGCGATAGTGTAGTTTCAATTGAGACTTCTTCTGATCGTGGTTGGGCTGTTAAGGGAGAATGGAGGGTTGAGGAGAATGGAACTGTGTTGATTAGAGAGTATGAGTTCACGGTACGTTTTTGGTTGTTTGTGGAGGGTTGTGTGTGGGGGAATTACAATGGGCAATCCGTGCGTCCTGTTTTAACCGCATCTGATTCTTCTTCTTTCAAACCTTGCACAGTCTCCTACTTTGAACAAGTTGGTGCGATTGGTCTACAAGAAGCAGGAGTGAAGTCCCCTTTTCAATACGTTTGCAACTTCATAATTGCCTCATAAGAACTATAGCGAAACGCTTTCAAACACCCGTAATATAATTCTCTGTCCTTCATCATTTGGTTCCTTTACAAACGACTTACTCCTTTTCCTATAGCTATACAAAATACATAAAACCTCTTATTCTTTCAGATCAGTAGGATCCATGGACAAACGACACAGCCGTGCTACGAGTCCTTGTATTTGGACAAGAGATTGCATGCCATCTAGCAATCTCATATGAGCAGCTCCAATTTCCTAAGTGTTCAAAACAAATGAGCAAAAAGAGGCATAGATTGGACCAATGGTGTGGAGACAATCCACACTTGCAATAACACCAACGACATATGAATTCCATGTTTGATCCGTCCCTTTGTCTCTCGCGTTCAACACACACCTTGAGAAAATTAAGCTTTACAAACTCCTGCAACTCGGTACTATACTGTGTGACTTTGGCCATAGTACCCACGATATCAAGCGACGAGTATCCATTACTCCACAATTCAGACACTCGAGCCAGCGCAACTTCAACCTCTGGTTTACTAGCTGCTCGAATCAGATCTTGTACAATCATGGGATGAGGTTGATCACAGACTTTGAATACATAGTCGGGCTCGATGATACCAAACCCAGCATGTGTTGATTGTAGATTGTTGACTGCTTGACGCATGTCACCTTCTGCTGTGAAGATGATTGCTTCGAGACCTTCTGGTGTCGATTTTACCTATGAGCGGTAAAACAATACGCGTCGGTATGTATTCGTTGTGCGGAATTCTTGGCATCACATTGCCCAGTCAGGCACGTACATTCTCCGCTTGACATATCTCCATAAGTCGTTTCAGGATCTGCTTATCCAAGAGCCTAGCGTACCTCAAGATGGTACAACGTGATTGGATGGGCTCAATAATCTTGCTGGAAAAGTTACAAGCAAATGCGAATCGTGTTGTTGCAGAATATAATTCCATGGTTCGTCGTAGCGCTTGTTGAGCAGCTGTGGTCATACTAGTTATGGAGCATTGAATTAGGCTGATGCAAAAATGAAATCCAAATTGATCGAATGACCAACCTGTCAGCTTCATCCAATATAACAATCTTTTGACGACCATGTGGCAGTGTGACGTGTGTTTGGGCAAACATCTTTATACGGTTACGTACGACATCAATACCACTAAATAAATGGAGATAAGATGTTAGATCTAATGGTATAGAGGGTGCAAACGATCATTTTCTTAGCTAGAACTTGCCGATCATCAGAAGCATTTAATTCCAACACAGCTTGCTTGTAATTGTCACCCAACAGTTCATGAGCTAATGCTAGTATACTTGTCGTCTTTCCAATACCAGGAGAACCCTAGAAGGGAATCCAAATTTAGACAATCTCTTCTTTTTGGTTGTAAGTAGAATCAAGTCACTTGAGCACATACGGTGATGATCATGTTAGGACAATTGCCATCCCTAGCAATCATTCCTAGTTTCTTGACCGTTTCTTCATTTCCCACGATATCTCTGAGGTATTTTGGTCGATACTTTTCTACCCTGTTGTTTTTTAATAGCGTGTATTTTGGTCAATTTTTGAGATTGATGATGGTCGTGTGCGAGAACAAGGCCCTCCAGATCAAAATTTAGCAATGACTTCCATCGTACCATGGTAATTCAGACTCTCCAGAATTCTATGATACATTGATTGAGTCAGCAAACAGGTGCGAAGCATTCAAAACGTCAAACAGAAACAATGAAGCTTGCAAACAACATAAGATGCATACCAGAGCAGGCGCCGATGGTCCCTCATGAGTCAACATATCCATACAATAATTATCGAGTCGAGATTGTCTATAGGGGCCCTTGTGCGATTGATGAAGATAATGGTTTGGAGAGAACGCATCAGCGACAGAAATCACGTCCATTTGTACCTTAAAGTTTAAATTGCGGTAGCCGTATGAAAACTAGTGGGAAATGGCATAGTGTCACTCATTTTGATGCGTCGCAGAGGTGTAATCAGTCTTGTAACATACAACGTGTCGTTTTGTTCGTGACGACAACACGATCAAATCGAGGTAAGCAAACCAAGGTTTAATAGTTGTAAGAGCGTTATTGACAGGCTTTATTGCATTCCCTCAAACTCTATACGCGCTCTATGACTAACGCTGTCCTGTTTCTTAGATGCCAAAATCGGCGATTATTATAGGAGGCAGTGGTCTTGTCGGGAAACGGCTGGTCGAATGTCTGCTAAAAGATGATGGAATCTCGAAAGTCGTATCGCTTGGGCGACGTGTCATAGACGCTGATTCCGTGTGCCCGTCATGTACCACTGAGCAGAAGGCAAAGGTGAGTGTTGTATTAGATACATGCATTGTGTACTTCATTTGAATAATGTTGGACCAGCATTATTCCACCTTGATCGCCTGTGGCATCGCGTCAAAATTTCTCACTTCATCTTCCCTCACGATAGTTCAACAGTGTGGTGGTCGACTTTCTGAACTTGAGTTCACATCGTGAAACATTCAAAGACCAAGCTCTCGGTTTTTGTACGCTGGGAACTACGAGAGCTGATGCTGGGTCTGCCGAGAAATTCAAGGAGATCGACTATACATACTGCTTGGAGTTTGCCAAACTATATCAGGAGGAGAACAAGGATAAACCAACCCACTTCTTACTATTGACGAGTGGAGGATCTGATGCGAATTCCTTCTTTTTATATCCAAAGACTAAAGGAGAGGTACGAGTTTGATGCAAATTGATGTTGATCCTGTTTCGATGATAAAGATTAATGAATCTTTTATCGTTTTTTGTGTAGCTAGAGCGGGATTGTGGAAAGATAGGTCTAGATAAACTGAGCATATTCAGGCCCGGTCTTCTCATGTTTCCAGAGGGAGAAACTCGACCTGGGGGTAGAATCACCGAATCTGTCTTGCAACGTATTTTCCCCTACGTCGATTGGATTGCTCCGTCTCGACTGACGGCTCCAACGACTGTAGTTGCTTCTGCCATGCATAAGAAGGCACTTGAGCCTGTAGTCAAGTCAGGCACAACAAATGTGGAAATATTAGAGAACAAGGCAATTCTTGAATGTGGGATATCATCGTGATCGTAATTATAATGCTATGAACACAGTATACACCGCAAGCCAGTCATAATGCTCTTGTTTGTAACGCGCACACACACAAATAAACAAATAGTTTCAGTTCAACAATAACGTTCTATTTTTGTATTCTCCTTTCTCCTTCTGGTTACTTTCAACTATGAAACTGACTTTTTAACGTCCGACACAACGTTTACAGTTTGCCAGTACGGGTAACGCCCAATTCGATGAGACGGGCAAAGGCAGCGCTGAAGTCCTTGAAGAAGGCCTAAAATGGTGACGTGTCAGTAAGCAAGACTTGTTGAATGTGACCATTTTTGCATAATACACTGCTTACCTCCTTGTCGTCAGCGTACAATTTAACCACCTTCATGAATTCTGGGTCCTTGGTCAATGCCATATCGGTTGGCAACATCATCAATTCACCAGTACTGTCTTCGTATTGGAGAGGGCCATCCCATTTCTTTGGTGTCCATGTTTCGTTCAACAAGAGCTACAGATAAGTGTATTTTAGGACATGGTGGAGATCGTGAGGGGGTGTCGACTTTTCTTAAATCATTATCGAATACTCACCTTGAAGTACAGGTTTGAGAATCGTGTTGGAGTCTAACGGGTGAAAGGATACGATGTGTAAGCGTCAGTAGAAATAACATATCATTAGAAATAACAAAGAAGACAGCAAATTATTACGTTGGTCCATGGTCCATCAAAGCCGGATCGTTCCTACACATGAGTGTTTGTTGAAGGATTTGCAACAAAGAGCATAAATTGTTATGTCGGTTTTTTTTTTTTTACCTTGTGGCAACGTCCAAGAGCATGAGCACCACTCAAAGCGACAATTTCGCGATCGTTGAATCCCATACGATAGAACACATCTGAGAAAACATAGAACTGTAAATAACACTTCAACTTCATCAACCTGAACCTGCAGCTGCATACCTCGTAAATGTTGGGCACCTTGAGTAGCATCGGGTAATCGACCATTTGGTGGGACGACTTGAGGACGGACGGCAACAGTTTCCTTCTTGACGTCAACACGTCCAGACTTCCATGGGACTTTTGGTCCACCCATCTGATATGAATGCATAATGTTAAAACATGCACAAACAATGTTAGCATGGCAAACCATTTTATACCTCTTCGACGGCAACGACACCAGCAAGAGTCCACAAATCACCAACAGAGATTTGAGGGTATTTTGCAGAGATGGCGTGCAAGAATGCACGGGCAAGGTCCAAACCATTGTTTGCACCATCAGTAGATTCCGGAGCATATCTCATTGTGGCACCGTTTGAACCGCCAGTTTTGGAGTTCTTATCGTATGTGCCTAGTTGGTGTATTTGAGTCGTTAATACATGTGAGTTTCCACGTCAAAGCAGCAAAATTCATCAGATGTCGACATTGGTTGATGAGAAGGCCATCACTTGACGGTAGGACGGGAAAGCACATCGATATAGATAGATACCTGAAGCGTGCCATGCGAGACGAACAAATACGGGTCCCAATGATCCGTCATCATAATCTTCGTGCTTTAAAATTGAAGCTACAAGTCAACCAAGGTTCGTGAGCTTCTGACTTACAGCAAGAGAAAGAGAGTGCAAGCTATAAGTTGCGAACGTACCGATTTCCTTGCGGACAGCGTCGTAGTTTGCCATTTTGGTTGGTTTTCGAGTAATCGAGTAATGTTGAAAATGTTGAAACTCTTAACAGGAACTGTGTGGTAATTTCTCATTCACCCCCGGGCGAGAAGGAACCAGAATGAACAGCAACGATTGTAACGTGTTGGAACATAGTTGGGCTGCTCTTTTCTCGTGTATATATACGCGAAATACACGACTCGATGTTGACAAAGCTCTGGAAGATGTTGGTGATGACGCAATGTCCATTCAGGACGAGTAAAATCGTGATGCCACGTGTAGCCAATTGTACAATCTACAAAAAGATTATTTCGATGTTGTGTTCGGCCTCTTTATCGCGTTCGATATGGCTTCCGTGTGTTCTCGAAATTCCAAAATCACTCATTCCCAACACTGCCGCTTTTAACTGCAAATCATAGAAGTAGTGAATGAGATAACATTAAACGAACGAGCATTTCACCGCTCATATAACATCGCCATACATCCGGCCAGCATCCTTACAATCCCACAATGAGCGACATATCGACAACAACTACGGCGTCTTTCGCTACTTCAACGGCTGCCGTCGCTGCACCTGCGCCAGGCGCATCGGCGAGCACTGCAATCAACTTGTAAGTTTACGTATGTCTGCCGTCTGTTCCTCGTCAACGCTAATATCTCCATTCGGTGAATCATTTGATCAAACTTGCTCACTCCTCGTCACATTCACATCTAGTCAAAGCTTCAACTCGCTCTCTGTGTATGCCTTCCTGGCTCTCATAGTCTTGACCATCGGCGCAGCGTAAGTCTCTCTGTCTTATTTGGAAAACGCCATGGTTTGGAATCGTCGTGACCAACAAAGTGTGCTTCAACCAAACATACTTTTCGGAATCTTTGGCCCCAAGCAAGCATCCTAAATCCTCTGATTTTCAATAGAACTTGGCAATACTTGAGATTCAGGAGATATCGCTTGGCTCATCCGGAGCTATACACAGAAAACGCGAATGGGCAGGTTGCTGGGGGAAGGAGACCTCGAGATTCTGATCAACAATCCATTGCAACGCTTCCAGTCTGTAAGTTACTGATCTGCATTACTTGCTGGAGATTCATCCAGAAAGATCCGATCTGCAAGCATTAGAGCACACCGAAATTGGTCTACTACGCAATGTATGATCTGGCACTCTAAACCTGCCCTTTTTCTCGATTTTTAGACTTTAGTGAGAAACTTCCAGCATATTTTGAAGAAGAACCAAACACGGATTCACATGATTCTGCATCAACTGCATCACCTACACAACCACAACAACCAAACTCTGTCCATATCAATATACCACCATCCGCTGCATCAAATAGCTCCAACAATAATGATCAACTGCCACCTCATCCACCATCATATGACTCACATACATCATCCAACAATCCCCTAATAACAGACTCGCAAGAAGAATATCCAGGTCTCGAACTGGTACTATCCGTGTCAAAAGAAGAAGAAGATGCTGAATACGAAGGAAGCAAGAAGAAGGGCTTGCTATCTGATGGTATTGAAATGAAACAGGTCGTCACCAAACTGCCTGAATTGTCGATAGTCAAACAGGTTCGAAACGCCAAGGAAAAGAATCGGGCTTTTGGGTTTGAGCCTTCATCACCGGTTGTTGCTGTTGGGTCATCTGCGTCATCGCCAATGTTGGTGAATGCTGAGAGGGAGGAGAGGGATGTGACTGGTGATTAGAAGGGATGGAGTAGAACCTGAAGCATAAAAAGCATTTTTATATACCAATTTGGTTTGGTTGCCTCATTGTTTAGTAGAAAAGTAGTACTATAAATCTCCCTTGTCTTTTTTTTGTGTCAATTTCCATTCACATAGTTGTTGTACAATATATACTGTTTGAAATTTGTAACAGATTTGTGCAAGAGTTTGATGAGGACATGGATTGTTTATTATAGTTGCGGGCACACGGTGCAGTTATTATGCAATTTTCATGACACTGATGATTATATATCTTGATTAGGAACAGACGAGAATCTGCGTTGCCGGTTGCTACCTATTGCTATTGCGACAGCTAAACCGACACCTTGTACAAAAAAGGGTAAGATTGTTAAACAATATCAACAATCGCAGTTTCAAACACAGTCACCAACCTGCAACAGCAACGACTCCCAGCATTATCCCCAGAATCGCACTTGTACCCAAGGCAGGATTCGATGAACTTGCTGCAGCTTGAACAGGCGTGCCTGTATTTGAAGATACAGCTGTTGGTGTCAGATTAGATCCAGCAGGAGAGTTTCCTGATGATGAAGGTGTTGCGGCAGATGTTCCTAGTAGACCAGCACCTGCCGTTCCGGTCCCAATAGCTACAGTTGGTGAACCTGTACCCACGGCTGCGTTTGGGGACGCTGTAACAAAAGCGGTATTTGGGGATCCCGTGCCAACAGCTTCGGTTGCAGAAGCCGAACCCAACGCGGCATTTGCTGGAGACACTGTAGCCGATGATATAGCGCCAGCTGACGGCGAGGTTCCCGATGAGCCAGTTCCCGATGTGCCGGTTCCACCTACCTGTGGACAAAGCGAATCAAGTCAGACTCCACGAAGCATGACCTGGCGGTGACATAGTAACCAAAACTTACAAGTGCGAATCCCAGATGCTGGAAATCAAAGTTACTGGTATTGGTATACCATAGCGCTATAGTATCCCCGTAAGCGACGGTTGCGCCGTCAATTACTCCCAACTCTCCATCTTGCCAGAACTCCCAGTATCCTGGACTGCATGCCACGGTGCCCAGCACCAACGTCACATATCCGTTCACTGTGTCGCCTGTAGTTATGTAGGCAGTGTTGAATAGGGAGTTCTGTAGTGTTCCATCACTATGCAGTATCCATCGTTGCGATTCATCAGTCGCGTCGTGCGGTATGAATTTCATGCTTAGCGTCTAGTGTGGTTTCGTTAGTACACCATCGTCAACCACAACAATTCAAGGACCTACAGAGTAACGCGTGCATGTATCTCTCGATGCGAGTCTGGAAACGGTTCCAGAAACACCCAGCGCCAGGGTTCCATTGCACGATTGGATTGTGAATTGAGTGTCAAATGGCGGGTTTTGGGCTGTACACGCCTTCCATGTTGATTCAAGTAGTGCAGCAGCTATGAGATGAGGTAGATGATATTAGTGTCTTGGCGATGATAGTTTGGTAAAACCGAAACTTGGTGGTGGGTGACGTGGAACCACCAATTTCAAGGTCAAGTTTGATCACCCCAGGTGGCCAAAGAAAGCTTTCCAATAGATTTCAATGCAATGAAATTCCAAAATTCAAAATCTAAGTCAATTCAAAATGAAAAAAACATGGTTCGATCCCCACACAACAAACCTGGTGATGTTGCTGGATCTGGGGTAGCAGCTGCATCAGCTGTTGGCGATGGATCAACGGACGTTTGAGCCTAAGTAATGCACTGCATAATTAGTACTTATTGGTCTGAAACAAATTGCCAAGTTGCGAAAACAAAAAAAAGCTTAAACTTGCTGCCTACCCCAACGAAACCGCAAAATAGTGAGACCAAGAGGAGGACGAGTAATCGTATGCTCATGGTTGGTGCTGTCGAGCCTAAAAGTTAGCGATCGTCCAGTACGATGGGTGTAAACTCCACTCGTCAGTAAAGATGTTTGGTGGCTGGTTTTGAATTGTTGCGAAAAGGTTCATCCCAGTCCATGCCGGGGAAGTACCTGGTTTGGTCAAGCAATTGCATTTCCCATTGAAGAGAGTGTAATATGCTGCTCTTTGTTAGCTTCAGTGCCATACTCCTCTCCGGCGTCCTTCTAATTAGCAAACTTCAACATTGTTCAACAGATAGCTTTGTAAATACAGTTGATTAATTGGAGACAAACGGAAATTCGTGTCAGTTTCCAATTTCAAAATATGACTCCCGTCGTATTCAAAGGGTTTTTGCTAGAGCGTCATCCATGTCATCTTTTCGGCGGACGATGAGAACATAGATGGTCAAGAGTTATCTCAAACGCGTCATTTTAGACCTGTATACTCATCTTAGCACAAAAGAACTACGTAATGAATGTCCCTCGGGGCCTAAATCAACCTACATCAAGCTGGATCTATTTAATCTATTTCAATGTCGGATTGTCTTGATTGTCAACCGACTCGACAAGAAAACGTCGAAAGAACCCACATTGGCAACAGCACAACCCACGGTTGGAAGCCAGGATAAAACACCGATGGGCAACAAATAATGGCATTGAAACATTACATTGGTATGTCGTCGGTTTCTGCTTCAATCACGGAATGTCCAAATTTGATAATTTGGTGCAATAATAAGAATTCGTCCGCTAGTTTTCTATATGTGAAGGCTAAAGGTAAACTCGCTACTAATGCTGGTTAACATCCGCCTATGTGGCTCTGCTTCATTCATTCAGTTTAGTTTGCTCGTCCTGTGTGAATCTTTAGTAAGTAATGAGGATTCACAAGCTTGAAAATCATCAATCGCTGCTATGGTATATGCAGAAACTACACCGGATCCAGTCGTCAACAAGCCTTTGTGAACCCTAATTCACTACGAAACTGAATTTGCTTGAATTTGACGCTAGGCCTCCAAGGAGAAGCTGTCTTTCGATGAAAAGAGGCGCAACTAAGTATTGTGTCGTCTTGATCTGCTGTCTCTTGTTAGGGTCGTGTCCTTTCTCATCCAACATCAATTCACTAGAATGTGTTGGCGAAGGACCTGATCAAGCAGGTTGATGTTTCATCATGGCAATAGGTTGATTTTATAACACTAAACTGTAGACTACAAGAGTTGTTCTTTGAAGTGAGCTCTAGTGCTACTTTTATGTGTCGCAAAACAGGAATTCGTTGATCTTGTTGCAACCCAGACAAAGGACTTTTGGTCGTTAAAAGAGATCGAAATGAAGGCTAGGAAGGAGAAGGGCATCGGTGTGAAATCGTTCCAGGTGGGACGTGATACAAATGGTCAAGGAATCATACACTACTGATAAGATTAGTACAAGCTACAAGCAACTATTTATTATTGGGCATTCCC